CTTCCATATCATCATCACTATTATCACCAAATATTTCATCTATTTCGTCTTCTATTTGGCTATTTAATTGTGGTAGTCCGGTATTTCTTCTTTCGGCATTGACCCAATCTCGAAACAACACCGATATTTCCAAACTATCCTTTGCTAATGAATATCGATGATCTCCAATCATAAATCTCGCCGCACTAAAGGCTTGCTCTGAAGCGACCGATGATGCTTGAATCGCTAGCACATCTCGAACAATCCTAGCAAGGGTCGGAAATTGATTTTCACGATTCTTCCACCATACTAATATTGGAGCTTGAAGTTGTCCTTCTTCATGCCTAATCTTTTCCCGTGCCTGATTGAAATATAAATCAAAATCATTATTAGTAGATGATTCAAGCTCAAGATAATCATCCATCCAATCATCCGTATCATCGCTTCTAGGTTTACAAGATGGAGGTTCAACTATTGGAATATTTTTTTCCATAGATTTATATGTATTATATAACTCTCTAGCTTTTATATATATGCTACTTTTACAATCTTCAACACTAGGAGTTTCATCATCTTTAATTTCTAAATTTGCATAAATCTTTTCAACCATTCTTTCAACACCTTTTAATTTGTAATTTGGGTTGAAAGTAGTAGTAGTCAAATAGATTTGAGGAATAGGGAAAAAATATTTTTTGAATTTTTCAATCATAAAAGCAAGGGAATTTTCAAATCGATCTTTTCCTTTATATTTTGCAAATTCAGATGAAATAGCACAAATATTTACTAAAACAGAAGAAATAGTTGGATAATATTGACCAGAAGCAGCATTTGTTGCTTTATAAAAAACACTTAAAAATTCAATAAGTTCTTTTGTATTTTCCCAATCTTCATAGCCAATTCTCAAATTCGGGTCCGCATTATGAGCATTAAAAACTAATTGTACCGGCTCTTGATAAATATAAGCAACTTGAAGCATTTCAAATAAAGAATTCCATCTAGTGCATACTTCTTTTGGAACTTTTCTATATTCAAGTCCACATTCTTTACAACGATTTTTAAATTCTATAATTCTAGCTTTTATTTTAGCTTTAAAAATCCAATTACAAGCAAGTCTAATTTTTTCACAAGAAATTCCAAATTGAGAAACACCATCCTTTACTATCAAATTATACACATGTGCGGCACACTTAATATGAAAAGAATCATTATCAATTGGACAAAGTCTACATTTTAAATAATCAATTGCTTTCAAATTATTAGAAGCATTATCTAAAGTGACACTCATTATTTTATCACATATTCCATAAAATTGTAAAACAAGGCCTATTTTTGTTGCTATATAAGCACCGGTTTTAGTTTCTTCAACATATTTATATCCTAATATTCGTTTTTGCATGTTCCATTCATGGTCAATCCAATGGACAGTAATTGTAAAATAATCATTACCATTAGGACTACGTCCCATATCAGAAGTAATAGATAATCTACCATCATAATAAGCAAATAAACAACGAAGAAAATGACAATATTCTTTTTGATATTTAAAAAGATCACTTTTAATTGTACTTCTTGGAATACCTTCATAATCTGGGTTATACAATTCCCGAATATACTGAATAAAACCAGGATGTGAAGGAAATGAAAAAGGCAAACCACAAACAGCAACCATTTTAGCTAATTCTCTACGATCTTTTTCTTTACTATATGTGCGGTGTGTGCTTCGGCTAGCCGGGTTAGTCATATTTAATTCACTTTGAACCATATTAGAACCTCCAGCTCCCATAGAATTTTCAGGTTGAGGTATTCCATTTCTATTAGCCCTTTCTATATCATCTAGGCGAGCAAATTCTTTATTACACTTTCTCAAATGTGTTCTTAGTCGTCCCGTTCCCCCTTGTGTACCCGTAGTTACATGTTTCATGATCAATTTACATTTCGTGCAAGTAACAGTAGTTTTTTCCTCATTTTGTACCAAAAATTTCCATACTAAAGATCTTTTAACACGTACAACGGTCTTTGAAAAAGTAGGTAAAGAGGGGACTTCATCTTGTTCCGGTAATTCGGTAGCCGGACTAGTAGGGGTAGGGGTCTCATCATCTTCCTCATTTATTTCTACTTCCTCATCTAATTCTTCCTCAAAATTAGTAAAACATCTATTTAAAGTTTCATGATCTACTTCATTTTCGGAATTAAATTCAATAGGTCGTGAGTCTCGTGTAAAAGAAGTTTCATCAACATGAGTATAATCATTAGTATTAATTCTAAATCTAGGAGGTGGCAAATTTTTAGAATTAGAACTACTTCCTCCTCCCCTATTATTTTTTCTTTCCGACATTGGTCTTTTACCACTATATTTTTCAAAATTCATGTTCAAGTTTAAAATAATTAATATTATGAAAAACAAGCAAAGATAATATAACAAAAAAATAAAATAACTTAATTAATAAACAAATAAAAATTAAAGTTGGAACGAATGTACCGAACGTCTACGTAAAAGTAGACGTATAACCAAAGCCGGAATTGAGAGATGCCAATTGAAGCTTCCGATTTACTTCAAATAAATCTCCGAAATTCGAACTCCAAGTCAATATCACAAAATAATAATTATGAATTTATGAGAGATTGAAAATTAAGAGATTTTATAAGATATTAATGAAATAGTTTGTGAATTTGTGATTTAAATGAAAAAATATGAGTATATTTATAGTGTTAAGGGGTAGAGAGGGGTGGGGGGCTGTTTGGAGCCGTTTTGGGTCCCATCCCAACGGCTAAAAGGGCCCAACAACTCTATAACGTTCAACTTAAAAAAAAAATTAAATTAAATTGACCGTTGAACCGGACCGAAACCGGTTCTTACTGATCCGGATCAACCGGATCAAAATCCGGGTTCCGTTTCGGTACCGGTTCCGGTACCTATAAGACCGGTTCCTTACCGGTTCAACCGGTACGGGAACCGGACCGGACAAAAACCGGTCCAATTGCCAGCCTTAGTTTGAACTGCTTACTATCATATTACTAAAATAATTATTCATTTCTATTCTCACACTTGGTTTTTCAGAAAAATTTTGCAACAAGGTGAATCTCAGTTTACTATGCTTTTGCGTATGTGTTGCTTTCTATGAAAATCTACAAAAGGGAAGGGCAAGACATCCAGAGTTTCAACAACGTATGTCACAATCAACCATACTAGCTCCATTCTTACTAAGTTATACCTACACAACCTAAAACACTTCTCTTTGCAACTGCATATATTTTTTCAACTACAAAGCATCAAGATGACTTACTGCTACCATCTATTTTGTCTTTTGTGTACAAATATGTAAATATGTATAAAGCATAACGTAAACACGCATAGGCAGTGCAATATCAATTGCTTATATATATTGCCAACCTATTATGATAATTACTGTCAAATATGTGTTGGGCCTGTGCGCACGAGTATCCATCATCTAGTAATATTTTAAAAAATCATTATAATTGAAAAAGTTCTCATAATACTAGATATGGACCCCATGCCAGCACGGGCCCAATACATATTACTCTCTTAGTTTCAATTTATGCGTCTTAGTTGAAATTTAGAGAATCATTCAAAAAAATTTAATGATTTTTAAATATTTTAAATTGTTTATTATTGTGATTATAATACTCTTTACATAGTTTTCAAATAATATATATTATTCTCTATGTCTCAATTTATGTGACACCGATAGAATTTTAAGAGTCAGCCATATTTTTATATTAATAAATTTTTTTATGTCTTTTAAAATTTAACTATTTAAGTTGTTAATTATAGTGATTTATAGAATATGTTTTCGTAATTTTCAAATATCCAAAAGACAAAATAAATAAATTAATTAAAACAAAAAAATATAAAAATTACATAAATGTGTTTGGCTAGAAGCATGCACGCCAATCATGAGGTGTTTTAGTTCCATTTTCCAACATAGCATATAGCATGTTAAAGAACACGAGATTAAATGGCATGTTTTAAATTTTAAAATCTTTTTATTTTTCTAAACTTCATTTAAAATCAAAATAAGTCAAAAAAATTGAAACTAAAGAAATGAAGTATGATTTTTGAATTCCTTATTTCATCTCTATTTATGTTTTTTTTTTATAAATTAAATTATATAGTGTAAATAGTAAATAATATTCGGAAAAGGGTCAAAATTGCCCCTGAACTATGAGATATAGACCACTTATACCCTCCGTTACATTTTAGGATCAAAAATGCCCCTACCGTTATTCTAAGAGACCACAATTACCCTTGGGACTTAACAGAAGTGATTTGGCAAGCCACATGGCACTAATTCCGCCACATAGGCTTGCCAACTAGGATACCCACTAAATTTTTTGACCCAATTAATAATTCAATCCTAACCCATTTTTGTTGGATCAACCCACAAAAATATAAAAATCTTTTGCTTCCCCTGCTTATTTACAACTTCATCAGTTAGCTATTACTTTGATTTATTCCCTGCTTTTTTATAACTTCATCAATGTACATATATGTTTGCCTTCATACACTTTGGGACGTTTACAACTCCTTAAAGAAGCAGCAAATTAGTGTACCTTCTCCTCGTCAATTTTGGCGCAACATATAATATTGGGTTTGAAACAGAACATGTGGACTGCAGATGGAACGGTCAGTTCAACCTCATAGCTACAACCCAAGCTTGAGGTATAAAGACGACCATGAGATTTCGCTTTAGCTTTGAAATCAATCCCGATGATCTTGAGAAAGCAACGAAATTTAGCTTTGATTGGGACTAACGTTATCGATCAACTGAAACGAAAGGTAAGCTATTTCACCTTCATAAACTTGAATCAAGACACCCGACTGATTGTCAGAGTAGGTCGAAAACACCTGCTCTTTCTTAGTTGAAATCGTGGTGTATCAAGTTATCAGAGTAGTGTCCATTCTGCTATATTTAAGATCGTCTAAGTCCAATATTAGATGAACAATATAAAGAGTAGTACTGCATCAATTGAGTAATAGAATATTGAAGGCCAAAAGATCATCAAAAGCAAAGAGCGCAAAAAAAACTCTAAGGTTCAGTAGCTACAATATCTTCATCACCCAACAACTCCAACTGTTAACTCGTTGTCCATAAGATCAGATCAATTTCAGTCACTGACTTCGGCGGCTAAAGAATTCTCCAGGAGAGCAACACTAAAAAAAAACATAAAAGTATTCATACCATAACAACAACTTAACTGCAGCAAGCAAATTGCTAATCACCTGTCAAATTTCAAAAATTGGCCAAACAACAATACTATAATTCAAACCATAACAGTTAACACCTTAGCTAACCCAAAACAGACCAAGAACCTGAAACAAAAACTGGCCAAACAAATATTCATTCAAAACAAAGCTTCGGTTCAAAATAAAACATAAGCAATTGTGTATTGTTTACATCCATAACATAACAACAAAATAAAATAGTAATGCCACTGTTTGCACTTGCCAGATCATACAAAAACCAACATTTCGGTATCTCAAAAAAAAATTTTAACAGAAGCTGACATATACTTAATACTTCCAACTACCAAGAGTCTAAATTTGGGATCTTCCATTTGCTTTCTTGGTCTTCAACTTCCCCACCATCTTCTCTCTTGCCCTTTCCAACTGATTACTAGTCATAGCTTCTTTTCCTTTCCATGTGACTTTAGTGGGTGAGTAAGGCAAATCTGTAGGCTCACTCATTCCTCTATGATCACCTCTGAAAGTGATCACTCTATTGGCAGATCTTGTTTGTTGGTTCTGCCTCATCTTAAGCCTTGTTAACTCTTCAAAAATTATACGAGGCCTTAAAACAGGATCACTTTCAAGTTCTCTAGTAGGACCAAAAGGTTCATATTGTCTCTGTCTTGGTGCAAATATGTCACTTTCAAATCCTTCTTGAGTTAGTTGAGGGGCTGAACTATTGACATCAAAAACTTCTTCATCTTGTTCTACTTCTTCAGTCCTGCCCCTCTTCCTCTTAAGACTTGAAATGCTGCCTTCCTCACTAGACTAAAATATTTTTAAATAAGTCATTAAATTAGTTCATATGAACATTATATAGCTAACTTTTAAATTAAAAAATTGTTACCTTGCAAGACCTTGCATTGTGAGCTTGTGAACCACACTTGCTACATGTCATCTTAGTTTCTTTTCTTGAGTGAGACCACTCTCCAGCTCTTTTGATTGCTGCATTTTTTTCTCTATCTCTTTTAAATTTTGGCCTTCCAACAGTTTTCACAAGATCAGGTGGGTCCATGGCATGTTCTGGCAATACTTGCCAGAATTGTTCACCTCTCATAGGCAACAACTTGGCCCCGTATGTTTTAAGATAGGCTTCTTTAGTGTACCACCAACTTATTTCATCTCGAGGCTCAATATTTTTGTAGCGCAATGCCTTGATGGCATGAGGGCATGGGATGCCAGTCAACTGCCAAGACCTAAAATGAAAAGCAATAATTAGTTCGTGTGAATATTACATAATCACAGTTACATAATAGTCTCAATTAATATATTTACCTGCAACTGCACTTCTTCTCCACAATATTCACTATGTGCCTATCTTCACCCTCAGACACTTCAAACCCAAGGTCCCCATTAAACTCAAGCTTGCATAAGTTGGCAATCTTACTGTAGGCAATGAACAATTCCATACACTTTGGACTGTGTTTGTAATAAATGTTCCATGTTTCTGCCTCTTTTTCCTTCTTTCTCAACCTGTTCATTATTTTGACTCTAATCTCTTCAAGCATCTTCAAGATAGG